GGACGGAATCGAGCGGCAGCTGACGCCACCGACGCCACCACCCCGAAGGAACCCACCCCCGTCCATTGATCCGAGCACCGGCACCCTGCACTCCGTGCAAATCTCATCCGGCAAGTCCGCCAGTGCAACGACGTCGATCGCCACGTACACGAACACGTCCACCGCTACGACCAGCCCGAGCCTCGGTTCATCCTCCAACGGGACACGGTCTTACGCGACTAGAGGCTGCTGCGTCGATTGTGCCGTCTGGAGTAATCACGGTACGATTTACACTCTCATTCTCTCTGTCTCTCTCTTCTCTCTTCTCTCTCTTCTCTCTCTCTCTCTCTCTCTCTCTTCCTTCCTGTCTCTCTCTCTTTCTCTCTCTATTTTCTCTATGAAAAAGTGATCTCGTCTCCCATCGATCGATTGAAACGATAGAACGATGGTGTACAACAGGGTTTTAGTGGTAATAGTCGCCACGATTGTTCAGGCGTTTCTCATAAGACCAAGGTAGTTGAAAAGAGGAATAAGTCGGTAGATTTACGGTACGCGAGTTTCAGCCAGAGTTGTGGACGGATGAGAAATCTGAAGGAAGTTAAAGGAGTTTCAAGAGTTCGCCGTGGTATCTCGCTTGCGCGAGTCTGCTTTGTATTAAAAACATCGAGACTAGCTTCTCAGCCGATTCGAAACGAGAGGTGGATTTCGACTTATTAGACGGATTTGAATACACCGAGAGCAATCGTACACGTACGTTTATCGATCCGAAGTATCGTTTAGTAAAATTAGGAGAAACGGCCCGAGAAATCGTGGCGATCGTTGCGTTACGACGCGCTTGAACCCTGTAGAAATTCAGAGTCGATGGGATCGAGAGTTCGCGGGAATAATAAAAAAAACACGGTGTCGTCCGAACACACGACAGCCATAGATCGCGAGGACGGAGATTCGTCGGCGACGAGCGAGTATAGCGAGTCCGGCGGGTCAGGAGGTTCAGAAGGTTCGGGAGATTCAGAAGGTTCAGGAGGTTCAGGATGTTCAGGAGGTTCGGGAGGTTCGGGAGATTCAGGAGGATCCGGTGGTTCCGGAGGGTCTAGTTGGAGCAACTCGGAGAAGGTCGGAGAACTTCGCGGAGGGTCGCTGAGGCAGGAGTTAACGGTAGCGTCTCGGTGCCGTGTTCGGGGTCGACGCGATCCG